TATAAGAAAGCCCAGAAGAGGGAAATTCACAGACAGAAAGTAGATTAGTGGTTGCTTAAGCCTGGCAGTGAGATTGCGGGTGGGGATGGGGGGAGATAGTTAAAGGAGAGAGAGTTTCTTTCTGAGGTGATGAAAATGTTATAAAATTGACTGTAGTGATCGTTGCATATATCTGTAAATATACTAAAAATATTTAATTGTACACTTTACATGGGTGAATGTACAGTATATGAATTATGTCTCAATAAAGCTTTTTACAAAAGGAAACATTCAAATCTAGTACTGGAAAAAAAAGAAGGAAGTTGCACAGCTTGCAGAATTTCTAGGAGGGATGGATTACCAGGCTCAGAGCCCAAAATATTCGGAGTCCTAGGCAGGTATATGCTAGTGAAACCACCACTGCTGCCATCTCTGGGCCCAGACACCCCAGCTTACACCACCAACACTGACCTGGATTCTGAGCACTGCCCTTCCAAGTGCTGCCATCGTTGTCTGTGAAAATGATGCACAAATCCCACCAGCCATGTCTGATTCTGTCTCCATCCCTGCTTCTTGGCCTCACGATTTTCCAGTTCAAAGAATGGAGCAGGTGATTCTGACAGACAGAGCCCAGGTCATACACCAATGCTCTAGCTGCAAGGGGGATTGGAAAAGTATCTCGTATTTTCAGTGTGTATAATAGGAGGGGCCTTGCCTCATAAACTCATATCCCTCAAGCATAGGAGAGGATTTTAGATGTTAAGCAGCAAAACCAAAAGAAAAGAAAAGGTCCACTACCCTTTTGTCTTCAATTTATATTAGGACTACAACCCAAATTCCTATAGACTGAGTTGATTTCTAAGCAAGCTCATTTGAGATGCTAAAAAGATCATGATTATAGGTTTGATTTCCATTACTGGTTTTATAATCAGTTATCTTCTCTTCTATCACCTTACTCAGCAGTCTCACAAATTATTTCTCTGATACCAAGAAAAATCTAATGAAAGAGTATACGGATTATTTGTTGTAAAACCATCCTGACCTTGGCAGGAGGGTGGTGTGGGACAGAAATCAGGTGGGGAAAATTCAGATTATAAAGACCTTGCTGTTGTAGGATAAGTCTTCAATAAAATGCTAATGTACATAGCTATCTGTAATAGTCTAAGGTGACTGGATAAATTTTATCACTGAAGTTGATAATTTTACCTTTACTCTTCAGTTTCTAAAACCTTATGAAATATTTGAAAAGGCAGTTAACATAGTTCATAATTCCAATAATTAATGTCAACAATTCAAACACTAGGATGTCTTCCTGAGTATAATAATGTGTTAAAAATCATTGTAGATTAGTGAGTCATGAGTTTTCTTCCTGAGGATTTGTACATATCAGTTCTCTTTAATTAACTGTTTGGTGGTTTTAAACTTTAATTGCCCTTTCAAAAAAAAAAAGGTTAAAATCAATCTTGACAGGTGTGTACAATTCAAGTTGGTAGTATGTTGTGTTGATAAAACAGACATAAACACGATTCTAATAATGGACAAAACTTTTGTTCTGTTCTATTTACTCAAGGAGTGCATAGTTAACCAAGTAAAAGTACAATGTATCATTAGTCTGGAATAAATTATTTGACATTAAAACTAAAATAACCATCTTTTACCCCATAATGTCATGGTCCTAAATAGCTAGACTAACAATTTCAATCCTGGTTCTGCCACTTAATTACCTACCATAGGACTTGGAAAAATTACTTGGCCTCCCTGAGCCTCAGTTTCTTCATTTGAAAAAAGGAGACAAATCACGTCTACTCATAGGGTTATTGTGCATATTAAATGAATTAATATAAAGAAGGCACTTAGAGCAATACCTGAAACACAGCTAGCAAGAAACTCAATAAATGTTAGCAAATTATCTTGGAAATTTGCTGATTTTTTTTTTTTTTTTTTTTGGCGGTACGCGGGCCTCTCACTGTTGTGGCCTCTTCCGCAGCGGAGCACAGGCTCCGGACACGCAGGAGCAGAGGCCATGGCTCACGGACCCAGCTACTCGGCAGCATGTGGGATCCTCCCAGACCGGGGCACGAACCCGTGTCCCCTGCATCGGCAGGCGGACTCAACCACTGCGCCACCAGGGAAGCCCCTGATTTGTTTTTTTAACTTCTTCTTTTGCCGTAATTTCAGATTTATAGAAAAGTGGCAAGAAGAGCCCAACTCTGTCTACCCTTTACCCAGGTTCCCCAGATGTTAGTATTTTACCACATTCGCTTTATGCTTGACTCAGTGAGTATGCATGTATTGTTTTGTTTTGTTTTTTAACCATTTAAGAATAAGCTGCAGTTATAGTATCCTTTTACCCTTAAATGCTTCAAGATATGTTCCTTAAAAACATTTTCTTGTATATCCACAGTGGAGGTCTCAAAGAAATTATCAGTGATACAACACTGGTACCTAACCTTCAGACTTGATTCAATTTTTCCAATTTTCTCAGATAGTGTTCTTATAGTAGAAGAAAATCCTAGATCATGTCTTTTATTCTGTTGTGTATTCCTCTTTAATCTGAAACTGTTCCTCAAGATTTTTTTTTTTTTTTTGTCAAGACCTTGACATTTTTTGATACATACGGGCCAGTTATTTTGTAGTGTCCTTCAGTTTGAGTTTGTCTTTCCTCTTGCTTGAATTCAGGTAATGCATTTTTGGCAGGAATGCCATAGAAATGATGCTGTATTCTTTTTATTGCAATAGATAAGGAAGCATATGATGTTTGTTTGTCCCATTACTGGGCTGTCAACTTTGATCATGTGGTTAAGATTGTGTCTGTCCAGTTTGCCACTGTAAAGTTACCATTTCTCCCTTTGTAATTAATCTGTTTACAGGATGATACCTTTAGACTATGTACATATTTCTGTTACTGCAAACCTCTTACCAACTATTTTGGTATCCATTGATTATTGTTATGACAGTTGCCAAATGGTGATTTTAATTCCATCATTTCTTCTGCAGTTATTAGTTATTAGTTGACTTTCCATGGACTTTCTCTTCTCACCCAATTTTTGTATCACTATAGATTCATAGATTCTTATTTATTCATTGGGTTACAGTCTATTACTATAATTATCTTGATGATCAAGTTATGCCCAGTTTGGCCATGAGAGCCCTGTAAGCTGGCTCCTATATCCTTTTGTCATGTCTCCGTTTGAGCACTTCCTTTCTTTTAAGTAGAGGAAGGAATCTTGCATCTTATGCTGACTGTCCAGAGTCATATTGAGAGCTGAAACTTAGTTCCTTTAAAATGTTGCTAATACTTGAAGATTAATTCATTCTCTCATTTGCTAAGTTTCCTTTCTGTGCTTGGGGCCAGATGCTTCCAATCTAAGTGAAGTTTAACTCCAGTTCATATTTCAAAAACAATGTCAAAATAATTGTTACAGACAGTTAAATGCTATCAATATGCAGAGATGGGCTAGAAACCAGGGAATTGAAGAGAAAATTGAGAAAAGAGCAGAGTTTTAATAAAGGAGCAGCGAAGATATTCAGTTCAGCACTACAGCATGAGCAAAGGTGCAGAGCTAGGAATAGTCCTGTCTTATTAGGGAATTTTGAGGAGCTTGACTAGTTGGTGGGAGATCATGTTGGTAATTAGTGGCTAGGGGTGTCTGGTTTATTGGGAGCCTGGATTCCAGCCTAACTCATTTCTTATTTATCCTATAGGGATGAAGAGTATTCACAAAGAGTATGTTTCAGAAAGTTTAATCTGATGTTATATTGCAGAAGGGTTGGAAAAACAGACAAGTTAGGAAACTATTAAAATAATTGAGTGTAAGGCAATAGGAATACAAATCGAAAGGAATCTGGGAAGGAATTTGGAAGGAAGAAATAACTTTAGGGTACTGAATCAGGATAACTGGGAGAATGGGGTACTCTGCAAGAAATAGGAAACTGATGATTTTTATAAGGGAAAGAAAACAGAAAAATTGTAAAGAGAAACTCAAAGAAAAACAAGTTTGGTGATACTGAAATTTTTTAGCTTTTTTTTTTTTCTATTAAGATTGATTAAAAGCCATGCAGTTACTCCATACTTTTTATACAAAGCAATACAGCTAAAAAGTAATGCCCTGGGACCATATAATATCATAATTATTAGACACAGAGATGCTTGCTGAATAATGCTTGTAAGCAATAGATTTTCAGTAATAGCTTTAATTTTCATAGCTTTAGATTTATAGTGAAATAGGAAGTTGTTTTGGTTTGATATGCCACACTACCAGTCTCAAATCTTATCTCTGAATTGAGATCCAGTTTCCTTGACTGATTTGAAATGTGGGGCTCTTGTTGGCATTTGGGGGCGAGGAATTTGTTTCCAAGTGTAGCATTTGATTCTTCTGGGTTTCTAAAATTCACATTCCCATCCTTCTCTTTAAAAGATATATCATTTTTAACTTTGACGTTGTGTAAAGAAGAAATCATCAGAAACTAAGAATCTAGCTTACAAGATCTTAAAAGCACCAAATATTGTGACCAAGACATATTTTGCCAAATGTTGGGAGATAAATGTAGGAAGTACCTAGATCCAAACATTCCACGATAAGTGAATGTTCCTGAACAGATATTCTGCCGTTTCATTAATTTTTACAATTAAACGCATTTCAGTCTTAACCAGTCGTTATCATTCTTCTTCTTAGATATAGCAAGAAAAATGACACAGGTTTGTTATCTCTCTAGCTACTGTCTCTTCAGGCTTTCTGAACTGGCTTGAATCCTAAAGGTTACATCTGAGAACTAAACCTCATCCAATCCATAGGATACCAAGCAGGTTTGTTCATTTGTTTGTTAATAGGTTAATATATGGACTTCATAATTAAAATCTGTTGAAAGGAATTATTACATGAAGTAATGTATTAACCATCTAATGTGTTGGGATAGTGCTGGGCGACTGTCGTAATTGCTGCTGCTACAGTTCACAAAAAGGAAAGTAAAGTCGGTCCTTTTGGTTGGGAAAGAAGATTTCATGTTATCTGTATTTGCAGGCTTTCTGGCTCATATGCTGGAGGAATCCTTGCTGCGGGGGTGTTTTCATTTTCTCGTCTAACATGGCAGTGGTCCATTGCAGCAGAGGTTTTTAGCTTAAACAATCTGTTTGTGGGGCTGCTTATGGCTCTTACTGTACATTTTGAGGAGGCAACAACTGCACAAGAAAGATCAAAGGTAACCTATTTTGATCAAAGTGAAATCACTTTTTGTTTTAATTTTTAGACAGATGCTCTATTTCTTTTTAACTTTGGTTTAGATATTGTTTATCTATTCTGATTACTGTCAAGGTAATCTAGGCATGTTGAGAGAGAAAATATTCTCAATTCTTTTACTATGAATGATGAGAGCCTTTATAAAACATGCAATTTTTTTTTTCTTTCAGAGTTCAGAAGGTTTTTGAAGAATGAGGGTATTCTGAAATCCCTTTTGAGTCCTATGAGAAAGATAGACTTGTTGGTTAATCCACCATCGCGTGTGTGTGTGTGTGTGTGTGTGTGTGTGATCTTAAGATGCCAAGTCCTCAGTTGACTACCTTAAATTATTTACCATTATGGCACATTGACTTATTCTCTAATTGCAAAAAAAATCAAATTTGCACTTTTTTTTTTAACTAAAAGGAGAGGATCAACTGTAAAATGAAGTAGTCCCAAAGAGATTACAGTGACTTCTAAGGCCAACACTATCATCAAAATAATTTGAAATGTGGAGGAACCCTGTCTTCTAAGGGCTTACCGTCTATACATTGAAGAGTGCCAGATCATCTTAGTATATGCACAGCCTGTGTCATTAAAGATTATAGAAACAAAAGAATATAAAAGTTTATCTGTGGCTTCCATAAACAAACCTGTGGTGCTATTAGAGTTTATTTATTTATTTATTTATTTTGTGGTACGCGGGCCTCTCACTGTTGTGGCCTCTCCCATTGCGGAGCACAGGCTCCGGATGCGCAGGCTCAGTGGCCATGGCTCACAGGCCCAGCCGCTCCGTGGCATGGGGGACCTTCCCAGACCGGGGCACGAACCCGTGTCCCCTGCATCGGCAGGCGGACTCTGAACCACTGCGCCACCAGGGAAGCCCCTAGAGTTTATTTTTTATTTAAAATAAACTTTTTTCTGATTATGAAAATAACAGATGTTCAAAAATAGCAGAAAAACCACCCATAGAGAACCAGATTTCTAAATAAAAGTGTTATATTCAATTTATTTAATTCAATAGGAGAAAAAGTAAAACAGAATTGTTGAACTTCAGTTCTAGATTTCACTTGAATGAGAATTACACAATATCCTGTTACTGTTAGGACATGTCATCCTATAGGACTTAGTAAAACTTGGTTTGAAGACAGTAATTTAAGGTCACACTCTGCAATGATTTGATGAGAATGAAAAATGGTGATAAACATTAGTGCATGTTAAAGCATGACTGTTTGCATCTAAGATGTTGATTTTAACCAGACTTATTGTACAAATGCTTAGCTTTAATATAAAGAATAGCTTTTTACTATTGTGCTGTTTTTGGTGAATTTTTAACTTGGATTTTTTTTCTTTTTTTTTCTTTTCAGATAGCTAAAATTGGTGCTTTCTGCTGTGGCCTTAGCTTATGTAATCAGCACACAGTAGTAGTCTATGTTTTGTGCATAATACCATGGATTCTTTTTCGACTTTTAAAAGAGAAGGTAAGTTTTTCTTTTTTTTTTTTGCGGTGTGTGGGCCTCTCACTGCCATGGCCTCTGCCGTTGTGGAGCACAGGCTCCGGACACACAGGCTCAGCAGCCATGGCTCACAGGCCCAGCCGCTCCACGGCATTTGGGATCTTCCCAGACCGGGGCACGAACTCGTGTCCCCTGCATCGGCAGGCAGACTCTCAACCACTGCCCCACCAGGGAAGCCCCAAAGGTAAGTTTTTGAGTAAAAATGAAAATTCATAATATTTTATTTATGCCCACTATGACATTTAGGGAATCAGAAAACATGGGGCTTGCTTTATTTATTTATTTATTTCATATAAAGCTTGATAGGAATATCATTGAATCTATAGATGGCGTTGGGTAGTATGAACATTTTAACAATATTAATTATTTTAATCCATAAACATGATATATCTTTTCATTTGTGTCTTCTTCAGTTTCTTTCATCAATGTCTTTCAGTTTTCAGTACACAGATATTTCACCTCCTTGGTTAAATTTATTCCTAAGCATTTTATCTTTTTGATGTTATTGTAAATGAGATAGTTTATTTTTTTCCAGATAGTTCATTGTTATTATATAGAAACACAACTAACTTTTGTGTGTTGATTTTGTATCCTTCAACTTTCCTGAATTTGTTTATTAGTTCTAACAGCTTTTTGATGGAATCTTTAGGATTTTCTATATAAGATCATGTCATCTGCAAACAGAGACAATTTTATTTCTTCTTTTTTTTTTTTTTCTTTTGGCTCTGCTGAGCCGCATATGGGATCTTAGTTCTCCCACCAGGGATCAAACCCCTGCCACCTGCAGTGGAAGCGTGGATTCCTAACCACTGGACTGCCAGGGAATTCCCACTTCTTCCTTTTTAATTTGGATTCCTTTTATTTCTTTTTCTTGCCTGATTACTCTGAGTAGGACTTCAGTACTATGTTGAACATGAGTGGTAAGACTGGTGAGTGAGCACCCGTGTCTTGTTCCTGATCTTAAAGGAGAAGCTTTCAGTCTGTCACCACTGAGTATGATGTTAGCTGTGGGCTTGTCATATATGGCTTTTATTACATTAATGTATGACCCACATCCATTAAATCAGAATTATTTTAGATTGGGATCAGCCACTGGCTCGGCTCTGCAGACGTGCAGAACTGCTGGCTAAGATCCCTGCTCTGGCACTGCTGCAAGCAGGAACGTGGTCTGCCAAGATGGGAGACTGGTTGCTGGAAGCCTTGCTCCCCTTCTCCGTGTCTATCTGATCCCCAATGGTTGAGCCCTGAAGATCCCCCCAGTAGTCCCTGCGAGGTGAGAACTGAGTGAGCCTCCTGGGAAGCATCCTGCAATGCTGGGGGAGTGGGATATCCACCTTGGGCTCTCTTTTCCCACTGGAAAAACTGTAGTCCTAGGGGAGTCCTCTTGGTGCAGTGCTGTGCTGGCCTAGGGGAGGGGTGACGTGGTCAGAGTGCCCCCTGACACTTCGAAAGTGGTCTTTCTCAGTCTCTGTGGTCCAGGAATATGCTTTAGCCTCAACCCCAGTTTCTGGGATTTTCACAGTGGGGCCATGTCTATGGATAGTTGCTGATGGTGTTTTGTGAGGACTGAAGTTGGGAATGATTTATGTTGCCATCTTGATGGTGTCAGTCTTAGCCAGTCTTCTGATATCACAGGAGGTGCATTTAGATATCAGAGAGGTACATTCTCTGGCATGAACTTAAAAATCTTTTGTGTTAGTTCTTTGAAGGGAGAGCTGTATTCTTATATAAAACATGCAAGACTCAATAGTTGACAAGTTAGGAGCCTGGTCTGAGAGCCTGTTTACTCTGTACTTAGATCAGCTACTGATGAATGATGAAATTTGGGAAAGTATGACTCTTCAAAGGACCTTTTATTTTCCTTATTTAAAGAGCAGAGGCTAGAAAATAAGATCTACCAGTGAAGTGACAGGGAGTTGGATCTCACTGGTCAGGTGATCTAAGGCAGAGCTGGAGGTCCTGAGTCAGTTGGTTGCAACCCTGACCGCTCACTTAAATTATCTGGGAAGCTTTAAGAAAGTAAGTAAGAGAGAGTGTGCATGTGTGTGTGGCTGTGTGGCTGTGTGTATCTGTGTGTGTGTGTGTGATCCCACCACCCTAAAATAATTCTGATTTAATTGATTTGGGGTAAGGCCCAGATATTAATATTTTTAAAAAGTTCCCCAGGTGATTCCAGTATACATGCAGCTGGGACTCAGAACCTCTCTCCTGTACTCTCTGAAATAGATCTCATGTGATTGTTTCCCTTTTTATTTCCCATACAAAAGGAAAATTCTGCAGCAACTGCATCTTGCCATTCTAAACTGAACCTTATAATATGCAGAAACTACCAAAATCTAAACATTTACTTTCTTTAAAGGTACTTTTAAGAATAGCAAAGGCATATTTTTCAGTTAGTTATTTCTTATACTTTTTTCATCCCATCATTTTTATGAATCTCATTACCACTTTAGAAATGTCAAACAAAATTAGTACTATAATAAAAACACTCCATTTTCAATTAAGAATGTTTATTTGAAAATGCTGATGTAAGTCAACTGCTTTTCTGCTTCTGGTGAATGCAAACTTTGGTACTCATATTCACTGTCACCTATGAATTTTCCTTTTTTGTAAAGGAAAAATGGGCAATTTCCAATCACAATATTTGTAAGAGACCCTTTTCCCAGTTACTAAAGCAACCACTATTTGAATCTTTCTAGTATACCAGAATTCTTCTGGACTTAATCTTTATAAAAATTTGGCAGTGTTGTCCTTTGTTTTAGAAATGTGAAGATGAGAAATATATTCTCCTTGAGGCAAGACTGTTGCATACAACAACAAGTTTCCTTCCTTCCTGTGTAAATTGAGAAAAAAGAACATTTGGATGAACTGGGATGTTACTTAAAAGCTAGCTTCATTTGTGCCAAGTATTTTCATTAAATGTCCAAAACACTTGTAGAAAGAACATATTGTCAGTGTACAATCATAATAAAGTATATAGTTGAAGTCTGCTCCTGATGGTGGGAATGAAGTGAATCAGTATTAGAACAATATTTTGGGCATTTTCAAAAACGGCCAGACACCGTAATCACTTCCAAGTGGGTTATCTCAGCTGTGCAATGCTGCATGTCATGACATGGTTTTAAATGTAAAAGATGCAATAGACATGATACTCATGAGTCTTTGCTAATATTTGCTTCACTCAGATTTCACCTGCCATGCAAAGGAATTCAGACTGATGCAATTTTCTAGTAATCCACAGTAATCAGAAAGTTTAACATCGTATTCTGTGGTGACTTAATATAAATTGAGAGATCAGCTCTGAGTAAACATATTTGATGTTTTCCTTGATGTGTTCTTGAAGTTCCAGGATGAATCTGACTAAAATAAACATTATTATACATGTGACACCACGTGCTCTGATGCAGGAACTCTCCCTGGGCTCTTTGTTGAAGTTGGGTCTGTACCTCTCTGCTGGTTTGCTGCCCTATGTCTACCTTCCTATCTCATCCTACCGCCATCAAGCCCGTTGGACCTGGGGAGACCAGACAACATTGCCAGGATTTTTGACACATTTTCTCAGGGAAGAATATGGAACATTCAGTCTGGTAAATTTATATTTCAAGCCCTTTTAAGGAAATAAGTGGCAAAACTTCAGTGTTCTGCCTGGACCTTGAGTGGAAAAAAAAAAAATCAGTGTTTTTGTATCAATGACAGTACCTGGAATTTTCATTTGTTATTTGTATAGCAGACTTGCCCCTTGGAATGTAGCCTTTCACATATGTTAGAAAAAAAAATGAATCACTTAATCCGACATCATCCTGTTGTATATCCTGAATGTGTTTTTCAGGATAACAAGCAGTAAAAAGACTGCTGCCCGCAGTTGAAGCATTTCAGTCTTGTTAGCATTGGGTATCACTTGGGCTCTTGGTCTGTGATTAAAAATATTTGGAAATGATTAAAGGGAAAAAAATCTCAAAAATTTTAATATACCTTAATGAGTATATTTGTTTCTTTTTTTAAAACATATTTGATGAACAGTGTTCATGTTAGTATTCAGTGGGGGATCTAAATATGTAAATGCTTCATAAAATATGATCTCACTTAATGGAAACTGTATGTTCTAAAGAATTTCAAAAGGCCTTTCTTTCCCTAAGACATAAATTAGGGGAAAACACTAAATGTGGTTGTAGGTAATGGCTATCTGAAAAGTGAAAGCATAAATAGATGGGTTTTTATTTTAAGAAAGACAGTTGTATCTGATTTTTCTTTCATGGTTTGCACTTTCTGTGTCTTAAGAAGGCAAATCTCAGAAGACTACAATATTATATGATACCATTTATACAAAATTCTAAGCCATGCAAAAACTAAACAGTCTATTGCTGAAGGATACATAAAAAGTAGTAAAACTATATAGTAAAACTGTATATATATATACAGTTACCACTGGGGGACAAGAAAGCCCCTTTGAGAGCTTTGTGAGATACCTCATGGTATTCGTGCAGTTCTTTTTCTTCAGTGAGTGGTGAGTCTATAGATTTTTTAAAACTCTTTATTCCCTAAACATATATTACGTATGTTTTTTGTATGTAGGAGGTATTTCATAATAAAGTCATTTAATAAAAGGATAATTATTATTTTTTGACTTAGAAAGTTTGGTACTTTAAATTTATACTCTGGTTTACTTACATTGGTTATTCCATTGAAATATTGCTTGAGGGCCATTCCAGATTTGAAATGTGTATAATTCACACATAATTGTGAAATTACAGGCAGGCGATAATGAGCTTTAACCAAAGTGCCCAAAAAAAGAGCTTAAAGAGACTTTGTAATGAAAGTGTAAAATCTGTTAGTTCATTAATGTGTTAATCATTCCTGCTGGAAGAGTTTAACTGATTTTTAGCCAATTATTGTCTCTGAAATTATTCCTAAGGGATATCTGTGTTTAGTTTTCACTGACTTCTCCTAAAAAATCCAATAAGGCTCTGAAGTAAACACTTTGAATGAAGAGACAAGTTGCATTGTATATTTAAACATGTATCTTTTAAATCAGGGTAATTAAAACACAATAGTCTACCAAAGCTTCAGTTTAATGCTTATGCAAATAAACTTTTTTATGTTTAGGCCAAATCTGAAATAGGATCCAGTATGTCTGAAATATTGCTGTGAGTATGAAATATCTTAAACTATTTTTAAATGAATTCTTTATTAGTTCCTTTAAACGATTTTAGGGATTTCTGAGTTTATCTCTTTGTGAAGCAGTACGTCTGAGATGTAGTTTTCACCTCTGTGGTTAACAGTTTTTGTGTATAATGACAAATATTCCAGCATTTCCTTCAATAAGATAAAGCTTAAAATGAGTAATAAATAAAACAGTAAATAAGACTATTAGGAGACTAAATAGAATATATAAAATGAAAATGTTTCAACTTTCAGTTGTATACAAAATTACCCAATGTATTGTTGCTTTAGAAATAACTTTTTCTTTGTTTATATCTTCTTTCTTTTGGAGACATTTTAGAACATTGTATTTAACACAATTTGAACAAATATTTTCTTGTTATTTTGGTTTGAGCTATATTCATTTAATTCTTCAAACATTAATTTATTTAATGTTTTTTAAGAGTTCCTTTAAGCTGTCTGTAAGCTCTATTTTTGACTTGCATATGTTTAAACATCCAGCCTTATTAGAACCAGCTTAAGCAAATATATTTTCATCTATATTATCTATTAGAGTTCTTTGAAAAATGGGTTAATATTTGCTTTAAAACCTATACAAAGCTGGGATGAAGTGAGAGAGTAACACTGACATATATACACTACCAAATGTAAAATAGATAGGTAGTGGGAAGCAGCTGCATAGCACAGGGAGATCAGCTCCGTGCTTTGTAACCACCTAGAGGGGTGGGATAGGGAGGGTGGGAGGGAGATGCAAGAGGGAGGGGACATGGGGATATATGTATATGTATAGCTGATTCACTTTGTTATAAAGCAGAAACAAACACAGCATTGTAAAGCAATTATAATTATACTCCAGTAAAGATGTTAAAAAAAAAACCTATACAGATTAAGGCAACTTGGAAAATATAAATACCAGTTCTGTAATATTCTTACAATATTTTCAATATAAAATTAGGGATGAATAGGTTTCTCTAACACTAAAGTGATCTAACTATTAATATGGAATTCACAGGACTACTTGAAAACTATTTTTAAAATATGGGGAAAATATTTCAAATCTATATGTGAGGTAGTTCACAGGTTCTCACAATTTCTGTCTTGTTCATTTGCTAGCTTGCTTGCTTCCTTCCATACTTACTTCTTTTCTTTTTAAATTACTTTCTTTTTACTCCAAGAAATGATACATAATTATTACAGAAAATTTAGCAAATACAGGCAAGCAAACCAAGAAATTAAAATTACTATAATTCCAACATGCAGAGATAACCACTGTTCTTAATCCATTAACATTTTTATCTATATCCTTCCAATATTTTTAATATTTTTGCTTGTTTTTGAAAATGTAATCATAATGTATACTCTGTTTTGTTAGCCTGCTGTTTTTCATTTAATACTATATCTTGAAAATATTTCCCTGCCACCAGTTATTCTTATATAACCTTTTGAGGTTCTTACAATTGACTTTAAATATTTCTTTTTATGTCTGACAGAGACTTTTGTGGCTCCTTTTTCTTTTCTGTTGGGAGGAAGGTAGTAAGAAGCTCAGTTCCCCTTTTAAAGATAAAGACAACTTTATCAGTGTCTCTGGGCTTCTCCTTTGTTCTGCTTTTCTCCATGCCAAGACTCCCTGCGGGCTCTTTTCTACCTACCTTCCAAAGTTGTCACATTCAGGATCACTAGTATATTTTGTCTTAACAATCCCACATGAACTCCAGAGAAGCCTCAAGACTAATCCTAGACCATACATCTAACTCTCATTAGTAGCACATAAAAGTCATTTATTGGGGAACTTAAAGGCCTCCTTTACATTGAAATAATAGCAGTTAGGTCATATACTTAGAAAAAAAGACTTGACAAGAGCGATGACCACTCACACCGACACTGTTTGCTCAAACGAAATCGTAATACGGTATGGGGGCATAATCCTAGCACTCTCTGAATGAGTGAGAGAATTTCTAGTCTTTGTTTCAGGTGGACAAGAGTATTGAGAAAGGCAACTCATAATTAACTTACTAGAAAATCCTTCAACATGATGGAACCTAATCATCTTCTCTTTTCCAGTCAAGCAAATTACATTCTTTCTCCATGCATATCTTTAAATTGCAATCCTGTTGAATTGCATTCTGGAAATTATTGAATCTAACCCTAGGCAGTGTCCATGTTTTAGAGCTTTACATTTAAGCAACAGATCTCCAAGAATAAATTTTGAGACTGACTTCATTCCTTTTGAAGAATGGTTTGAAATGGGCCTCATGCTGGAATCAATTTTTCAAGTGTATTTGAAAATGAGTAAGGATATCTTCTCATAGTAGATAAGTTTCCATTAGTAAAATACACATTGTGTAGTTTCCATAATTATGGCATCACATTTTCTCCAGTAAAATTGCCAGTAGGGAGAAGAAAGTTCTTTGAGATAGTGTATAGAGTCATTTCTTTTTTAAAAATTGGAGACTGCTAGAGCTATTTGAGAACTCAGGTAACACTTAGAAAATGCTTATTAGTTAATGAAAGAATTTAGATTAATTGTAGGGGAAAAATACATTTCTTGGAGATTGCTTAAACATTTTTTGAACCAAATAGTATAGAAAACAAGGAAGCCTTTTACGGAAGAAGATAACCTAGAAAAGGATGGTTAGAGATCACTTCTCTTTCCTTTTTTCTTCATGATTGGATCTCCAGAAAATTATTTGAATTGTTTTATTTTCAGTTTCATATGACTTCTTATCAGACTAATCTAGGAATGCTTTATTTGGAACTAACAAATTTGGTTTTTGCCAACAATAAATTAGATTGTCTTTTACAGTTCTCAGGTGACAAATATGAGGACCCAACTCTCATTCAACATTCAAGCCCTTGCAGTTTGGGCAAATATATGTTTAGTAAGAAAGTAAGTAAAGTAATTCCTTTTTCCATTATTTTTCCCATGTTCATTAATTGAATTAATATATTCAATGTCATTATAGAACATTGCCAGTAGTATTTTATATTCCAAATAAATGACTCTAACCAGTTGTATTAAGGCAAATATGTATTGCTTTTTTGCTAGGTTTTTTTTCTAATTATAAATTAATGACTTTGGAACACTGAACAGTATATTATAATCTAACTAAGTGGGCCATCTGATATCTTAAACTTCTGGTTTGATCTCTTACTATCCCATAGCCAATTATTGTTGCTTTGCAAAAGAGGCAAACAATTATTTGAACTCCCCTGAAGAAAAAAGTAACCTCCAATGATAAAAGGAAACCTAAAAAAATATAGCACTATTTCCCTCCATTATTTTCTTGTTCATTTACGTTCTAGCCTTTTGAGTGTATTTTATGTAAATATATATTTGTATATACATTTATAGTTTTATTTCCTTAACATTATATTTTGAGCTTTTTCCCATACCATAAGAGATACTTAGAATCATTTAAATTTCTGTATAATATTCCATACTGTAACCTAGGACAATTAATTTAAATGTTCTCCTATTTGAGGGTCTTAGATTGCTTCCACTTTTTCCACTATTATAAGTAATACCAAAGCATTGTTATGGATTAATTCTTATCCACATTTCTGGTTCTTGCTTAAAAATGTATGCCCACGTGTCAAATTACTGGGTCAGTGAATGTGAATATTTTCTTTAAGGCTCTTGATATATAGTATCAAATTAACTTTTCTTGAACATTGTACTAACACATATTCTCATACAGCTGCGTTCTCACCAGCACTGAGATTTGTCATTTTTAAATCTTTATTATTTCGATGCATGAAATTACTCTTTTGTTTTGCATGTTTAATTACATCTTAAATTTAACAAGATTAGTAATTTATATTTCTTCTGCAGATTTTAACTTCGTATCTTTTGCTGCATAGTTCCAAATTATGCTGTCGACAATATGTAGTGCAGCGTATGGTTTATTACTATGCTTTGGTTACCTATTCCAACTCATATTTTTAAACCTAAGATCTTTCTTTTTTCCTACTTAAAAATGGAAAGGTTTTTAGTTCCAAATTTTTTTTTAATAGTTTAAAACTGTGTAATATTATTATTGATATTCATGTCACATAAATAATTTTGGACATATTTTAATTTTTTTTATAGGGACAGACAGAACTCATCATTAGTATGGCTTTTTACTGGAATGTTTTGCATTTATTCATTGTTCTTTGCTTGGAGGGCAAATTTAGATATTTCAAAACCACTTTTCATGGGTGTGGTAAGTTTTACTTAGATATATCCTTTGACCAGAAAGTTAGTGAAGAATGTACAAATTTGTCTTTCGTGAATCTTGTAGAAGAGCAAGTTATCTCAGAAATAGTTAAAATTGTATATACATTATTATAAATCAAAATTTAAATGATTGAACCAGTAAGGCTAAGCCTTCTTTTTTGGGGGGGTGGGGGGAGGGGGGCGGGAAGCATTGTTTAGTTAACACAATAGTTAAATAGAAAAATAAATGTAAGGTAGATTTCAGTGAGTCATTTTATATGTGTGCTTGCAGATATAGGTACTACTGTATTTCTCCTGGGATTTTCTTTTAAAAATAGCAAAGAAATATGGGTTGTAATTAGGGGCTCTAGCAACACATTCCCTTATTTCTTACCTCACCAGTCCAAGCCTGTGCAAAAGAGCAAGTATATTTCTGTTTTTCCCTGACTACCATATCTGAGATTAGAGTATTTCTTCTCCTTACAGAAGAAACTATATAAATGTAGATAGCTCTTTTTTGAACAGCTGAAACAGTGTGTGTGTGTGTGTGTGTGTGTGTGTGTGTGTGTGTGTGTGTGTGTGTGT